CCCCCCTCCCCCCCCCTCCTCTCCCCTCTCCTCCCCTCCCCTCCCCACTCCTCCCCTTCTCTCTCCATTAAACAAGATAAATAACATTTGTCCTGATTTCTCTTTTAATGCACATGCTGGAGAAGAAATTATAATCTCTTTGGAAGGGAAGAATGGTTAGTCAGTCTGACATTGCTGTCATCCTAGAAGCTGGGCATGTTGACTTATTCATGTATGGCCTTCTGTTTTCCCTGTCACGGGACAGAATTCTTCCATTGGTCTAGCCCAGCCAGCAGCAGTGAGACACAGAGTGAGATACCTGTGAAAACCCGGTACCTAATGAAGGGTTTTGTGCCACAGAATGGAAAATTCCTGTTGCCCAGTGCTAGGGGGTATAATGTTAGGGTAATGGAACCCTTTCATAAGGCTGAAGAGCTAAATATAAAAATGTGCTGGAGAGTAATGTGCTACTTACAAGACTCGAAGGTTCTTGAGTCCAGCGAAGTCCATCTTGGTGATCCTGGTGATATTATTTCTGTCCAGGTCACTGAAATGGAGAGAAAACTTGGGTAAGATTTTTTCAGGTTACATTTATGGTCTATTCAACCCAGACTGGCTTGGACTGGAGGGATGTTGCTTGTCAAGAAGAAGGCAATTCCAATGATTAATGATATCCCCTGAGCATGCCCAACTAACCTTAAGGGTATTGTATGGAATAAGCTATCCATTATGTCTGTAGTAGAGCCTGTTATATGTAGCTGCCTGGCTTCTGTTGCCCCTTCACCAGGTCAGAAATTTTTCTTTGGCAACTCCCCACCCCCAACTCACAGATCACGTCATATAAGTGGGGCTGAACCTTCGTCTCAGCTCCAGGGATAAGCTCCTCATCAGGCCAAGATTATGTGCATCTTTGCCCCCTCTGACCATAGTCATTGTTTCAGGAATGCAAATATGACTCAAATTCCCAGTGGGCTCTTCTGTACTGGGGCTGCTAAGCTGTTCAGCACTGCCAGCAGCCATCTTTCCCATGAAGACAGAGCTTTCCAGAGTTAGGAGATAAAAAAAAGATTAATTTCTCGTGCTATCCTATGAGGCTCTGGAGACACACATGCCTGAAGCCAGACACCTCTGTATTTGGAGATTATGTGGAGCCACTCTATCCCATCCCTCTTACATTTTGACTTAAAGTAGTTTGAGTTAAATTTGCCATCACTTGAAACCAGAAGAATCTTGACTGACTTTGATACCTAGCCAGGTACTTGTCTATTTCCCACCTAGTTTGAGGACTTCCCAAGGACAAAGACCATATCTCATTTAACACCATAGCCCAATAAGGTAGATTGTGTGCTTGGCACAGAGCCAAGGTAACTTTGTTAATTCCCTACATTAGGTAACGACAGCTACATGGATTACTGCTGCCTCAATTTGTAGGCTTAAGATCCTAAAAATGGTCCCAAAGAGAAGGATTTATTATAGGAGAACTGAAAGCATTCTGGTGGCTTTGTTGGGGAGAAGGGAGTACCATGATGGTTGCAAACCAGGATTAGGGAAAAACAAAGTCAAGAATAAACCTGTATAAATGTGTTCACTAAAACTATATAAGAAGACTGGACACAAAAAAGGACCATAAATAACATTCTAATTCTTAATAATGAATGCTGAACAATTAATTCCTATTTTCCATGCCTTCCTTATGAGAAACTTTCCGGGGCTTTGGCCAAGTTAGAGCTTCAACAAGGTACATGTAAATGATCTTGCTCTGCTTTTTAGCTAAAAGGACATTTTCCAGTGATGGGTTCCTATCTACATGTTCTCTACAGTAATCCCCCCTTTTCCCAGCATCACTTTCTGCAGTTTCAGTGGCCCATGGTTAACTGCGATAAGAAAATAATAAATGGAAAATTCCAGAAATAAACAATGATTAAGTTTTAAATTGTGCACCACTCTGAGTAGTGTGATGGAATGTCACGCCTTCCCACTCCTTTCTGCCCAGGATGTGAATCATCCCTTTGTGCAGTGTGAATGCTACTGGCCCATTAGTCACTCAGCAGCCAGCTCAGTTCGACTGCCATGGAATCACAGGGCTTGTGACCCTTATCCTACTTACTCATGGCCCCCAAAGCACAAATATGATGCTGGCAATTTGGATATGCCAAGAAAAGCCGTAAAGTGCTTCCTTTGAGTGAAAAGGTATGAGGTACAGGAAAAAAAACGTACACAGAGGGTTCAGTACTATCCATGGTTTCAGGCATTCATGGGGGCCTGGAACATATGCCCTGTGGATAAGGAGGGACCACTGCACTTCCTTGGTTTTCCCAGTCAGGTCCTGAGGTTGTCACCCTGCAGTTGGACCTCAGTGAGACTTGTGAGATCTGCAGTTGCATAAAAAGAACGAGAAAATAATTTTCAGATTCTCACACCTTGCAGGAGGAAAAACCAAGTTTGGGGAGGGATTACTCTCCTGATATAAAAATAATACTGAAGGAAATATGAAGTGGATCCTTGAGGAACCTCATCTGGGAACTCCCCACTCCATCCACTGTTCCACTATCTAAAATAGCAAAGTTGTTTCTTAACTAGCCTACAATGGAGAAGGGCAGTATGTAGACTCCTCAGACTAAGGTGAGTGCTGGTGAAGGAAGAGCAAGAACTGCACAGGGAAATAGAAAAGGGTTGCTCACGCAAAGATTAGGGACCAGCATGCAGACAGGGATCTGTGCATGCCCATAATCGCCCTGAGTATTTTTCTCACCACCCCTCACAACTGGGAAGGTTGTTTGGGGGCCTTTACAACTGTGAATATGACAATGCAACTAAGGGTTTCATTATGGGACACAGCATGGTATCTCAGCAGCTAATGCCAGTGGCTGTGGCACCAATATTCTTCAATTAATTTTTATTATGTGAAGGGGGACACAGTGTGCTGCTGAGATGCTGAGGACTTGGAGTTGGGTTGTGATGGGACCATGGGGCTGCCGTGGGAACATAGTCAGTGTCTGGGAGGCAGAGCTTCAGAGGCAAGCAGCCCTGAGTGTGAATCCTCACCTTGCCACATAATGAGTGACCTAAAGGCAGTTCACTGCATCTCCGAGGCTTAGGTTCTCCATCTGCCAAATGAGGGTGACAACCTTGACCTCAACAGTTTTTAAGAGGGTTAAATGAGATGATGCATGCATAGCGCTTATCTGACACTTGTTAAATACTCAATCATGGCAGCTATTGTTACTATAATTAGTTGAACTGAATACCCCCACCTCCACTCTGAAATTTCATTGCACCAAGAGCAGCTGACTGCCCCACCCTAAACTCTGTGCTTAGAGATGAATCTTGGGATCCTCAAGAGACTCGGTTTGCATGCTATCTTCCTCCAGGTGAAAAGAGGGGGCATTTTTGTGGTTGATAGGAAGGGAGCACCACGAGTGGCCCCTCCCGCTGCCTCTCCCTCGAAGCATTTCTATGACACCTATTTCCATGGTTATTTCCATGGTAGCTTCTCCTCCCTGATCCATGCAATACTGCCAGACTGCCAAGGAGAAGGTCAGGGAGCACATGGGCTTTGAGGTGAGACAGGTTAGGGTTCAAATCTCTGTCCACCCCCCACTCCCTGTTCCGTGAGCTTGCATAATTCACTTAAATTCTCTGATCCTCCATGCTTTCTGTAACTCTCTCCTACATGCAGACCTTGGAATGGTGAGACATGCAAAGCCTGGATTGCAAACATGCCTGGCTAAAAATGGGAATTAATTAAATTGCCCCTGAGAAGAGGCTGCACTACTTCATGTGCCCATCCTTCCCCCAACCCTATTGTCCCAGTCCAGGCTCCTATGGATTCTTAGATTTCTCAGCCTTCACCTTTAGCCTCTGAGGGAATCAGATCTCAGCCTAGGATGAGTTCTGAACCATCTGCAGGCATGGTCCCACCTGGAGTGATCCTGGATAGGAAAACTAGATGTGGGGTGGGGAGGCCAAGTGGTTTTAAAACATGTCTGCAAATGATTTCTTTGACAATAAGTGACTGCCTGTCTGTCTCTCAGAGCAACTGCATTGGAGCCCTGAGCTGCCATGTGAAAAGACCAGAAGACCATGGGAGGTGAGGGAGAGAGAGAGGGAAGGGAGAGAGGGAGGGAAGGAAGGAGGGAGGGAGGGAAAACCATTAAGTGTTGGAATGATTTGTTTTGCAAAAAATGGAAAGATGAAAGAGAAAGGAAAGCCACCTTCCAAATATTTAATTTAGCATTAACAATGGACCTGCATTCACATGACTCTCACACGTCCTTTCTGAGTCTTGCCTGCCACCCTTGAAATTCTCAGTGGTGTCTTTATGGTCAGCAATAACTCACAGGGGCTGAAGGCTCCCCTGTCATTCTAGGAATGAGGTGAGAATTGGTGCTGCTCTCAGGCTCTGAGGAGTAAGACTGCATAATTAGGGCTGCCCATCCCTCCAAGTGGGGCTTGCAATGCCATGGGAATCACCCTGGTGTAATACAATAATCACAATGAGCAGGTGCCATTCATTAAATATTGTGGCAGACTGGCAAGTTGTCCACCAAACCATTTCCCTCTGTCTGGTGCACACAGAGAGGCTACATTTCTCAGCTTCCCTTGCAGGTAGGGGCAACTATGTAACTGAGTTCTCACAATTACATGGGCAGAAGCAATATATGCTGCCTTCAGGCCTTGGTCCATAAAACATCCTGTTCACCTTGGGCTGGAGTCAGTAGATCCAGTGGAGGACTCCACAAATCTACTGACTCCAGCCCAAGGTGAGCAGATAGAAAGAGCCTGGGTCCCTGAAGGACTGCATGGAACAGAGACCTTCCCTTCCCTGCCTCCCCATTTACTCACATTAGACTTAGGCATGTTTCAGACATAACTCTTAAGACACTGAAATTTTGGAACTATTGGGTATAGCAGTCTAGTACATTGACAAGTGCAACAATTTTGAGTCAGTAGCTCTTCATCCTTTTTTTCTTTCTTCTCGTTGCAACTGCTCTGAAAGGTAGGTATTAGACATCCTTCAACAGATAAAAATACTGAAGATCAGCCTTAATAAGAGTTGATATTTGCTGGGCCCAAACTATGCACCAGGCATTGTGCTAAAAAAGTTTATGTTCATTCTCTCTAATCTAGACAGCAATCCTATGTGATAGATACTATTATTTTCCCATTTTTCACATGAGGAAACTGAAGCTTAGTCTCCCCTACCTACACCCCAACTTAGAAGATTTTACCAATAAAACAAGTTGCCATGAGATCACACAACCAATACGCAGCAAAGGCTGGGATGTGAACTCGGGCTCATGCTTTATATCACATCATGCTGCTCATCTGCAACTAGAGTCTAAGCACTTTCCACTGCGTCAGTTAACAGCTGACTGAAAAAAAGGAATAGAATGGAACAGAATCCCCCATCCCTATGTCTTGAAGAAAGCACAGGGGCACTCCCAGTGGCTTTGCTACTCCCCACTATGGCCAAGGTGGCACACTTCCTCGTCTGTTGCCCAGGGAGTTCTGGGCCTGTGGGAGTGCTGAGCCCCTTTGCAAGCT